GATATCACAAAACGGATTGCAGCACCTGGTGCAGCTACTCAAGGGCTACATATTTCGCGAATAAAACGCAGGCCGAAATTTTTACGTCTTTTTGGCGTGGATAGCGCCATATGGCCTCCATTGATGGCAGTGTTGTGTTTCCCCTCCTTTCAGAACGGAAATTTGTGTTTTACTACTAAATATACCTGTGTGACTTATTCTGTTCGAGGGGAGTGAGGACGATAAGTGACCAGAAAGAGATTCCACTGAAGACTGATTTATTCATGCTCATTTGTCTAACAGGTAAACTTGCTGTTTGCTACAAGGCAGAGATTATAATTGTTGGTAGCCCTGCACATCCCCCCCTTTTAGATTTTTTGTTTTTGTTTTATTTACAGGTGGTTGATAGCAGAAGTTTTGTTTGAGCAAGTTTAACATAAATTTGTATTTATATTTGTATTTAACATTGCTAAGTAAAAAATAAAAATTAATCACATTGTGTGTTGATTTGCTAGAAGAAATAAATTATTTTAACATGATTAACATCACAAAATATCACAGATAATTGCAAAATAGGTTAGTTGCAAACTAGTAAAATTATCACATCATTGCTGCATTTGGTAGAAGTAATCAGGTACAATCAGGGCAAACTCCGTCACAACCTCACAATGTGGTGTTTCTTGAATGACCGGCATGGGGTTGACAACGTCGAATTTAGGTTGATCTTGCGGTACCACCACTGATGAAATGTCCGAGTAATCAGACTGATATTCTAGCTTCGAGGGGGCATTCGAAAGATGTCTCTCATTTCTTCTGACGATGTTTCCTCTGCTATTCTTGACAAGATACGATCTGGGATTTTGATGTTGCCCAATCACGGTTCCAGGAGTCCAAGTTGTCTCATGTCTGTTCCTAATATTGACACTTTGACCTGACTTGAAAATCTGTGGTTTTCGACCAACCCTCTTGTCATGGCTTGTCTTCCTGACTTGCTGGTTCTCAATCATTTTCTTGTGAGCTTCCTTCTGCACCAGTTTGGGTTCCAAAGTTTTCCTTGATGTTGGTATGTTTGTCTTAATTTGTCTGCTGTACAGGATTTGCGCTGGCGAATGTTCCATTCCAGAGAGAGGGTTTGAATTTTGCTCTCTCAGCAATATTCGGTAATCTTCCTTGGACTCATGACTCTTGCGCATAATCTTCTTGGCAATTCCCACTGCACATTCGGCTAATCCATTACTCTGTGCATAAGTAGGACTTGAGAAGATGAGATCAAATTTATCCTTTGCAAATAACTGGAATTCATTACTGTTAAATGGATTGTTGTCGCATACAATGCTCTGTGGATCACCATGGATGAAGAAAATACTTTTTAAGGCTTCAATTACGGCTGCAGCTGATAGGCTTTTGACTGGAATAATTTCCAACCACTTGCTGAAATAATCCATGACAATTAGATATTTCTTCCCTCCAAACGACAGTAAGTCTGCGCCTAGCTTGGCCCAGGGTAGGTCTGGAATTTCATGCTGTAATAACTCGACTGGTGTCTTCCTTGGTTTAAATTTTCCACAGACCGTGCAACTGTCCACAAAGTTAGTGATATCTCTCACGAAGTTAGGCCAGTAAACTGACATCTTGGCTCTCTTAATAGTCTTCTCACTGGGTGCATGGCCTTCATGGAGTTGATTCACAGTTTCTTTCTGGAGATTCTTCGGGATGACAATGCAGTGATCTTTCATCAGTACACCTTGTAAGACATACAGATCATGTTGGTGCTGCCAAAAAGGTTTCACTTCTTGAGGTACTTTAGATATTTGCTTCGGCCAGCCCTCCATGACATATTTGATCACTTGTTTGATTACCAGGTCATTTTCTGTCGCAGCAAGTAACTTGTCTAAATATGATTTACTCACTGGCAGCTTCCTGGTGAGTGAGTGTACCACTTCTACCATCTCCGGATCTTCCACTTCTGTTTCAGGCAAAAAATTTCTTGAGAGATGATCTGCCATATGCATTGAAGTGCCGGGGAGGTATTCTATTTCAAACTTATACTTCAGAATCTTGAGACGAAGTCGTTTGAGCCTGTCCGACCCAATGCTTGAAATATTCTTGTTCATAATAGGTACCAGACTCTTATGATCCGTGAAGACCTTTACTTTTCTTCCGTAAACTAGATTGTGGAATTTCTTGAATCCAAAAGTGATACTCAACATCTCTTTCTCCGACTGGCTATAATTTCTTTCAGCTGAGTTCATGGATCTTGATGCCCAAGCGATTGGTTTCTTCTCTTGCATTAGACAAGCTCCAACGCCTACCTTACTTGCATCACACTGGAGTTCCAAGGTTTTCTTTGGATCGAAATGATGGAGGGTAGTGACCTCAGCTAGCTTCTGTTTTAAATTCTCAAATGCTGTTTCATGGTCTGGGAGCCACACCCACTGTCTGTCCTTCTTGGTAAGTTCACGCAGTGTTGATTCAAATTCTGACATATTTGGAATGTATTGACGTACATAGTTGAACATGCCTAAAGCTGTTTCCAAATTTTCCTTAGATTGAGGAGTTGGCATGTTTATTAAGGCTTCAATACGTTCAGGATCAGGTTCCACACCCTCACTTGAAAAAATTTGACCTACATACTTGATTTTATTCTGACTGTATTGGAATTTTTCTTCTTTGAATCTGATGTTGTTTTCCTTTGCTCTCTTCATAATCTCATTTAATGACTTGTCATGTTGCGCTTGATTTTTTCCAGCACAACAGATGTCGTCAATGTACACCACAACTCCTTCAATGTCTCCAAAAATCGCTTCATTAATGGCTTGAAATTCTTCAGGCGCTGATGTCAGTCCAAAGGGTAGCCTTTGAAAGCAATAAATTCCCCATGGGGTTACAAAACAACAAAGCATCTGTGATTCTTCATCTAATTCACAGTGGTAGAATCCTTCTTTTAGGTCAAGGACTGAGAATACTTTCATGCCAGATAATTTTTCTTGAATTTCTAGGGTAGTGGGTACTTGATGAGGTCTTGAGAGAATGACTTTATTTAACTCACTTGGGTCCAAACAAATACGAAGAGACTTGTCAGGCTTCTCAGTGATCACAAGGTTGTTTATGACTGTTGCAGGAGTGATTTCTTGAACCTTGCGAATTATTCCTCGTGCTTCTTGATCATCCAGGGCTTCCTTTAATTTATCCTTGATGGCACTCGGAATTCTGTGTGGGATGGACCGTTTTGGCTTGCATCCCTCTTGCAATACAATCTTCAATTTTCCTGGAAATTTTCCAGTCCCTTGGAATGAGTCCTTGTGACTGTTAACAAACTCTTCTTTCGTTTGAGGTGTTGTTGTTTTCACTTCATGTACTCGAATGACTAGCCCCATGCGCTCGCAATCTGTTTTACTAAGCACAGGAGTCACATCATCATCCACAACGAGGAAGTCTAACATGTACTGCTTACCTCGAACTTCAACATTCACTAGTAATTTGCCCGCTGCTTTAATTGGTGGAGATGAAGTGCCATAAGGTGCTATGAGAGTTTTGCAAGGCCTCATGTTTTCCTTTTCTTTGAGGGTTTTCACAAAATCCCAAGTAAGAGTGTTGACATCACTTCCTGGATCCAGCTTCAAAACTATTTGTTTATTTCCAATTTTGATAAGCTCTCTCCATTCGGTTGCTGTATCAAGTGATTTCAGGTGATGTAACACGACTATATCTTCGTCAGATTCATTTGTCTTCAATTCCGCCACTTGCTTGATCTCAACTCTACAGCATTTGGTGAGATGATTTAGTCGTCCACAGTTTCCACAGGTTTGTCCATAAGCAGGACACTTGAACTTAGGGTGGTGAGTATCACACTTGATACAGCGGAACTTCCCTCGTGGTTGCTCATCTGTGGGGTTTGGTGTCATCTTCGGTTGTGGGTTTGGATTTGGATTTGCTCTAGGGTTTGTCTTCTGCTTAGGATTGTTCCATCCTCTTTGATTCTTCGTCTTCATAGAGTCAACTGTAGCTTCGTTTGACAAGGACTCACCCGCACTGCACCTGGCCATGGCCAGCACTTGGTTTCTTGATGTCTCAGCTGATCTTGCCTGTTGTGCTGCCACGTCCTCCGTGAGGTTTTTGATGCGTAGGAGTGATTCTTGCAAGCTCTTGTCCCTTGTTCCTTGAACGATGCGATCACGAAGCTGTTTTGACTGATCTGGATAATTGCAGCTTACCACAAGTTCTTGAATGGCCTGGTAGAAGCTGTCAAAGGACTCTCCTTCTTGTTGATCACGCCGGCTGAAAATGAATCGCTCATACGTTTCATTGTATTCGTACAAGGAATCACAATACTTCTTCAATGCGCCGACGACCTTCCCGTAGTCCTTCTGATCTTCTTCACTAAGACCTTTCAGTATCTTTTCTTGTTTCAGGATTGCTTCGTTTCCCGCCACGTTCAGGAGGGTTGCGATTTTATCTTCATCCTTATCATTTATCTGCTTCGTTGCTCTCATGTAGTTATCGAAGATCTTCTTCCAGTCCCGATAATTCTTCGCTACATTTCCAGTAAATGATAAAGTAGGAGGCACATTGTGCATCATTCCATACACGTGTGTTGCCGGCATGATGGAGATGAATGCCGTTGCCCAGACTAGATTTAGTCTTGCTTGATCACTATCGAAATGTCACTCACTCAGGTTCTTCTTTAAAATTAGTTCAAGATTCTCTTCTTAAAACTTGATAAAAACTACGACTGCGCCATGTGTGACTTATTCTGTTCGAGGGGAGTGAGGACGATAAGTGACCATAAAGAGATTCCACTGAAGACTGATTTATTCATGCTCATTTGTCTAACAGGTAAACTTGCTGTTTGCTACAAGGCAGAGATTATAATTGTTGGTAGCCCTGCACAAACTACAGAGCTCTGGATTTATTTTACAACCAAGTTTCACATTTTGATGTGTTTAAAATTAAAAATAATGCTCTCAAGTGACTGTATGTTGTGTCGGACATGTGTATTGTGGTTCAAAGTTTCCATGTGTAATGTTGGCGGCAATCGGGTACGCAAGCTCTAAGCCACCGGAAACAGTATCCCCAGTTGCCTGGGCCTTGCCCTCGTGCCCCCGATGTGCACTGCATGCACCTGCAACCAGTCGTGGTCGAGAGGAGTGCCACATGACGGGACGCACTGTTGTCACGCTTGGTCAATTGCCAGGCCCCGGGGCGGGGGCTTTCAAAAATTGCCGTGGCGGCCTGTGTTTCAAGTCTCCCAGGCGGGGTATTGGTAAAAGTTTTCAACTAGCAATAATCGCACCTCGGTTAGACCTCATCGGTTACGAAATCGCCACTGCGCAAAGTTGAGGGATTGCCAACCTGACGCCCCTCTCCGCTGTTCAATGTTCAACACATGCCTAATTGTATGATAAGTAAACTCACTCGTGCTTCAGAATTTGAGTGGTCTGCACCCACTGGAAAAGTTTGAGTGAAATTCAGTGGGCGGTCATCAACCCTTCCCCTGTTGTGAGTGGGAACAGTCGGGTTTGCAGTGGAAATTCCCTACAAGTTATGTCTTGAAGCAGTGGCTGCAGCCTTAAAAACACAAGCATTGTTCAGAATAGGGAGAAAATGTTTGGCCAAAGTTCAACTTATGCCAAATTGTATGATAAGTAAACTGACTCGTGCTTCAAAATTGGAGTGGTCTGCACCCACTGGAAAAGCTTGAGTGAAATTCAGTGGGCGGTCATCAACCCTTCTCCTGTCAGCTGGAGCATTGAGGCAAGGAGCTAAAGCCTAAAAAACAAAAGCATTGTTCAGAACAGGGAGATAATGTTTAGTCAAAGTTCAACAATGCCAAATTGTATGATAAGTAAACTCGCCTGTGCTTCAAAATTGGAGTGGTCTGCACCCACTGGAAAAGCTTGAGTGAAACTCAGTGGGCCGGCGTCATCAACCCTTCTCCTGTCAGCCGGGGCATTGGGGCACGGAGCTAAAGCCTGGAAAAGCAAAAGCATTGTTTAGAACAGGGAGAAAATGTGAAGTCAGAGTTTAATAAATACGGCAAATTATATAATAAGTACTCAGTCCACTCTCGATGTTAAAGGTACTTACTTGGAAACCACGAGCAAAATTCAGTGGGCCATGGTCAGCCCTCCTCCTGTCAGCAGCATTCGTACTCAGTAATCGAGCTGGACCATGATCAATGCTGTAAGGAAGGAGCAGCCTGGAAAGGTTAATAGCATAGTTTAGAACAAGGGGATAAATTCTAGGTTCCGCACACCTGCTACAAACAATGCGGTAAGTACTCACTCGCCCATAGCCAGTCATGATTCTAGTATTTGCATGGTTCAGAGGGGGCACCCTGGGGTCATACCCGTTAATCAGCATAACCTCCTCTTCTGTTGTCAACTGTTGAGTTAGAGGCACCAATCATTTAACTGTTGTACATTGCAATGTCATGAGGTAGTACTTTGTGCGCTAGTCGAGGGAGTTGAGGAGAAATAAAATTATGTAGACTGTCTGAGAGGAAGTGTGGAACTGCTATATTTCTCACAGGGTACGTTTCCGGTCAAGAGCGAGAGAGACGAGGGAATGGCTGTTGACCCACATTGACCAGCAGTGGTGCCAACTGATTTTAATAGCTGACCAGGTTGTGTTGTCAACCTAGAACACCTTCCCCTCTGGCTTCATTTGTTACTTGTTTTGGTTTTTGGTTTGACATGCAGAAAGACAAGGGAGGTTAACTTGCAATACTGATTTATTTGTTGACTGTATACTAGGTTTAACAAAACAATTACTTGATCCTATTGGATTCAAACACCTAGCCATGTTCCATTTATATAATATAATAATGATTCAAAAGAAACTTTATCTTCATTCTACTTAGAATGACAATACTAATAAATAGCGCTGAGGCCGTGCACTTTTTGTGGTAACCACTTGCGCTGGGTAAACCAAAATAGCTGGACCCTCATTTTCAGCAATATCTTCTTGTGGCTGGTTTTGAGGGCCAGGAGGGTTCCCCTCTTCAGGGTTAATTTGAGGAACATCTGTCTGCTGCTGTTGAGGCTCCTGCATCTCCTGCTGTGAACAGGGAAAGTATGAATCAATATCATCAAGCTCAGTGTCATACATATCCGGCTGAGTCCGTGATTGTTTAAGGTGGAAAGTTGTGCGCCTGAGTTGTCTCCCATTCAGCTGCCTACTTATATATGACCTTGGGGCTTCATGTTTACGGACTATATGTCCCTTGAACCATTTCCTCCCCTTCCGGAATACAATGGGATCATTAGGAGCAAAGCGTACAGGCTTCCTGCGGGCATACCTATTGTATTTTTTAATTGCTTTCTGTCTATGTTTGAGCCAGATTGGACGCATGTCTACTACACGAGGTTCCAACTTGGATGCAAGAGTGGGTACCATTGTGCGACACATTCGGCTCATTGGCTGAGCGATAGCGAAGCCTATTACTCCAGTGATGATCAAAAAGTTTCGCGTCTGTCTGTTTGTTTGTCTGTAAGCACGATAACTCAAAAACGGTTTGAGCTACAAGGCTCAAATTTTTATTGCAAATTGGCATTATAAAGAGCAAGAACTGTATTGATTTTGATCCCTCTATAGCTTGAAAATTGGCCTGTCAACAAAATCAAAAACCGAAAACCCCAAAATATTACTTTTAAAAAATATTTTTTTACATCTTTCTAACAAGTAACTCGTCAGAGTAGAGGCCCCTGGACCAAAATTTTGTCCGTTTGGCTCTATCTCTAACCGTTTAGTCGCCAGAGGGCGATTTCCACACGTAAATGACCGCAAATTATTTTAATGTTGTTTCTCATATATTTGATGGTCTCTGATTGGGCAACTCGTCAAATAAAATCCTGGGGGTTAAATTTGTGTTCTTTGGAGCCGAAGGTCTATCTACGACTATGCATTTTGCCCGACTCGGGTATCAGCGCCGCAGGCCTAGGTAATTGTATGCCAGGCGCGTCGCAGCGTAACAGTGTTTCGTGAGATATCGCGAAGCCTGTTACGCGAGACGTGGTCTGGCGTACATCTATCTAGTTAGTATTTGAGCAGGTGAATAAGGAGTACCAGTGAGGGGAGTATTATTGTACTCACGAAGAGCATCAGCTAGATGGATTATATCCTCCGTGCATTTATCCAGCAATTTCCGTGCAATGCCTGCCTACACCCTTTTCCGCGAGCCCATTGCTTTGGGGATATTCAGGGGAGCTCGTTTCAATGGAGCTGTTTAGTGAGGAAGCAAACGTTCCACACTCTGCAGAGTTCAGGGGATTATTATCCCCATAAATGACCTCAGGTATCCCATGCGTAGAGAAGACATTCCTTAACACATTAATTACTGCCTGACTACTTTTGTTTTTCAGTATTTGTACTTCTAGCCACTTGGAATAATTATCCTCAATCAGTAAGTATGGCTGGCCCTTATGATCAAGTATATCACAACTGACCTTCTGGTATCGACGTTCAGGGATTGCATGAGGAAGGAGGGGTTCCTTAAAATTACTATTACTATATCTTTCGCAGATTCTACACCCCGTGATCAGCTGAGTTATATCATTAGTTATCCCCGGCCAGTATACTACCTGGCGGGCACTTGCCTTAGTCTTATCTATGCCTAGATGGGGGATGTGAAGCTTTGTCAACACCCGCTGCCTCAGAGATTCTGGGACAACTACTGTGTCCTCAAGAACCACCATGCCATTTTCATGTCAGCAGACATGCCCATTATGAGACGGGTTGCCAGGGGAGGGCACTCTGTGATAGGACAAGGGGCTTAATCCACACAGCTCCCCATGATGTTTGTAGGCGAGATTATTTTTTACCCTCTGTAAGACTATTACGCAGCAGGATCCTGATGCGGTGCAGACGACTTGAGTTGAAAACTGTCCGTGAAATCCTTACTGAGAAAAGTGCAAGGTAAAATGTGGAATTAAAAGAATATGTGTCGCCAGGTTTATCCTTTGTGTCCTAAGTTTTATGCGTTTTTTTGGTGTTTGTTTTTTGCCAGATTTCCTGTTAGAGTCCAGGCTCGTGTAAGAATGTCAAATATGAGGTCTGCCATGCAAAGGGCACGGTTCTCTGTTCTTCCTCCACCACCTCAAACACTCCAAGACTTAACTGACATTCTTCAAAACCCAAGATACCGGATCACAACTCAAACCCAAGATGGCACAGACAATATTTACGCAAGAAGTCTTACGGCTGATGATGGTTCACATCACATCATATTCTTGTCTCAAAGAATGGCACGTGTGATGAAGCGGATGGTCATTCTTTTTGGGGATGGGACGTTCAAGTCATTACTAGCCATGGAGGGCTTGGACAATGACGCTTCGCAGGTAAATAAATTATGTAGAATACAACCTCCTCATTTATACAATAACGTGACTTTCTCAGTCCATTATAATGTGTTTACTGTGTTTTGATTTTTTAGATTTTTGCCTTGGTTGCCAACTGGGACCATACTATAATCCCTCTTGGGTGGGTTTTAATGGAGAGAAGAACAGAAGCAGCCTATACAGCTGTATTAAGAGAAATCAGGAACCTTGTTAGGAATTTTCCAAATTTGAACCGGTTCATCTCAGATTTTGAACTGGCCATTACG